CCCATAAATGGGACGCTAGCAACGAACGGCCCCATGTACATTTATTGAAAAATACAATCATTTATCACGAAATATGGCTAATCACGCAAAAATTAAGCTGTATACTGATTTTGTATTGTTAGACCAATGATTACATTGTTAAGGGCAGCTAAAAATACTGATAATGATCAATTGGGTTAGCCATACCATGGTCTAAAATGCAGAAATTATGTTCAAAAGTCTAGTTTTCTTTCAATCTAGCATCCATCAAAGTGAATAACACTTGGAAATAAGTAAAGCTGTGACTAGTACATCTAATTATACAACCATGATCACAAATATTGTTATTATTCATCGAAACTGTAATATAATTAAATATAAATAATTGATGTTTTTTTTTTTGGGGGGGGGGGGGCGTACTTGAAGTTTTCAGGGGTGGGGACTTAAATTTCAGGGGAAGGGTGGACATTGGTAAAAGTATACTTTGTATATAAATTCCATTTTGTTCTGGGGGCAGAGCCCCCCCTCCTCCTCCTCCGAAATGATGCCTGTCCCAGATGTCATCCAGCCATTTTATCTTTTCTTACCCTCGCTATTCCCCCCCCCCCTCACAGGCGTACATTAGGACATCAGACATCTTATTTCTATGGCACGGATCCGTCTCTGGGGGCCTGTATTGAGTGTTCATTGCTCTCATCCATGTATGCATCTCACTATGCGAACAGCTCCCAATCTAACACTAGGAATCTCCTTAAAAAGTTAACAGAGTAAAACTGATATCGGGAACCTTTGGAGGGGAATATTATTGGGGCATGACAACTGTACACAGCTAATTCACATTTCTGCTATATGTAGCTTAAGCTCCATTATATGAAGAGAGTTAACCAACCCCCATGACTGAATCGTTTCACCTAAATCGTGGCCATCGTTATTATTCTGGTTTGTTATAATTTTAATATCACGCGCTAGTAAATTTACAGCAATGCTAAATTAGTTTGTATTCAATGGTATTAAATACTTCAGTAAGTGCAATTCTGAAAACTTATAAATAAAATGTAATTTTTTCAATATTTGCAATTTTTTAATACAATAATATATAAAAAAAAAATATAGCTCAAGGTCATAATTAAATATCTATAAATACTACTTAACACCCCAAAGTCAACAGTCAACAATTGTTTCACCATAAATAACCATTTAACATACATATTTGCATCTGTGTTTCTCGCTATTGTCCAATAAATGTGACATTTGTGTAACAATCTGCATAAATATAGGTCAAGTTCATAATTAAATATCTATAAATACTACTTAAGACCCCAAAGTCAGCAGTTAACAAAGTCAACAATTGTTTCACCATAAATAACCATTTAACATAAACATTTGCATCTGTGTTTCTCGCTAGTGTCCAATAAATGTGATGTTTGTGTAACAATCTACATGGGGCCATTCGTTGCTAGCGTCCCACTTATGGGACGCTTGTTGTACACTTGATATAACGAAGTAGTAAAAAAAAATTGTTATTCTTAAATTTTTATCAGATCTATAATATAAGCGGGCTGTGTCTTCCTTCCTTCCTTCCGTCCGTCATCGCTATAGATTTTGGGACTATAAAAGTAAACATTCGCACCATGCTGTGCTTTTCAGTGCACCGCAGTGTCTTATTATAAGTATTAGAGTAGGGTTTGTTTATATAGCGGCATAGAGCTATTTTATAAATGTCACGGTTTTTACTCTTTCGCATAACGCCAAGAAAATATTAAATACACGCAAACTGCTAAAACGTATTAAAAAGATTAATGTCAAATATCATTTTCGTTTAGCCTATCAGAAAAAGTGGATACATTTTAATAACATAATAACAGTAGGGTAGAAAAATCAAATTAATTTAACTCTTTTCTAATTTTGACAAAGGAGGTAATTTAAAAATACATTAAACTCACGCTAATAAAAAATGTGAATGCAAATATACGTTCGTCATAGAGGGAATTAGTGTTGCAATAATATAATTAGCAAAATGTGAATGCAAATTATTCGGATGTGTAAGAGGAAATTATTGTTAGAAAATTATAATTAGCATGGATTGAGAAAAGGCAATCTTTTATTTATTTTATTCACTGAATGTAGGCCCTACTGTTTATTACTTATAATTTTTAATCAACTATTCAGCACTATTATAGACGCGTCATCACGTTCATTAGGTGCGCAATGGTTTTAGTTATGAAAATCTATTGTAAATTTTTAAAATTTAAAGTACTGGAAAAAAAATGCGTGAATGGATAAAGTGAAATATTGTAGGTAAAACACGGATATTTTAAATACTGCCTATTATTTATACTGTTTACTAATTATTATTCTATCTTTCGGTTTGAGGACAAGCTAGGGGTTTTATAGGAGAGGCGTAGCGAGGGGAGGGCATATGTCCCCGGGTGCCAACCTTAGGGGGCGCCAAATTGGGTTGGAAAAAATTTGCGAGGGGGGGGGGGGGAATCGAAAGTTTTAGGGCGGGGGGGGGGGGGGGGGGGACAGGGGTGCAAATCGAAAGTTTGAGGGGGGTGCAAATCACCGGAAAGGGCGCGATTTCGCGCTACGGGCTAGACTGTGAGCAATATGCCTTTATGATTGCATTTAAATTGTGTTTATGTTATGAGTGTTGTGTTTGTTTTTTCGTTTTTTTTTTTTTTTTTTTTTTTTTTTGCGTTCGTTTGTGTTGTGTTTAGTTTTGTTCTGTTCCCAAGTTGGTACATTTAATAAAAATTTACCGTGGCGGAGCACGGGATGCAGCTAGTAGAAATATGGTACTGCTACAAGTTTCAAATGTATTTTGCACTTAAAATGTTAATATTTTAGAAGATATGCATTTTCCTGTGCGCATGTTTTCTTTTTTCCGCCATTTTGACAAGTCCTGCAAATCCGGCACTATAACATTTTTCTAAATTAATTTTTTTCACAAAACACACACAAATTCAATAATCTATCCATTTTCAAATACAAAAAAACATAGTTTGTGTTTTTAGTAGTTTTTAATGAATTTTAGCAATTTTTTTTACAAGCGTCCCATAAGTGGGACGCTAGCAGAATATGGTTAATATTGCATAAAGGACAAACACACACACATACATTGCATTATATATATATATATATATATATATATATATATATATATATAATGCAATGTGTGTGTGTGTGCGTGTGTGTTTGTTTGTTAATTTGTTTGTCTGTCTTTTATGCATTAATACACCTTTCATCCAATTGGCATGAAGCTTTGGAAATTTGTTGTCAGTTGTGGCACCGCAGAATGCGATTTGTTTTTCTCTATATACGGTATATATATGTGTGTGTGTTTGTGTGTAAATAAAACGAAGACGAACTCACCCCACAAGCTACACCTCAAATTTGTATAACCACATTTATTTTAATATCAGTGAACATTATTTTTAAAACAGGAGTTAGAAGATAGTTAAAGATGCTACAAAAATTAAGGTGGAAATTTTGTCCTCTCTTGATTAATATGAGTAGAAAAAAAAGTGTGAAATGTAAAAGGTGTTTAATCAAATATTTAAACCCTACCCGAGAGGTCCGTGAATGAACTCTTAGTTGATGAGGAAGAGCTTTCGTCGAGATGCCGGTCCATTGAAGTGTTCTTTCCACGATTCTCCGATACACCTTGCGTTTCAACATGGAAAGAAAAAAAAAAACAAGGAAATAGGTTCGATTGATTTCTTCTAATGTCGTGAACATCTCATAATGTCAATCTAAGCTTTACCTCACTCCCATTCGTGTAAATTTAGATGGGGAAAATATTTTGCAATATTTTCTGGGCTGCTTGCCGCACTCAGATTTGTGACTTACAGAACTACATCAATGACAGCTACACCAATGACAGCTACATCAATGACAGCTACTTCAATGACAGCTACATCAATGACGGCTACATCAATAACAGCTATATCAATTACAGCTACATCAATGACAGCTACATCAATGACGGCTACATCAATGATAGCTACATCAATAACAGCTACATCAATCACAGCTACATCAATGACAGCTACATCAATCACTGCTACATCAATGACAGCTACATCAATCACTGCTACATCAATAACAGCTACATCAAAAAAGCTACAATAATGAGAGCTACATCAATGACATCTACAGTAATCACAGCTACAATAATGAAAGCTACATCAATCACAGCTACATCAATAAAAGCTACATAAAAAAGATACAATAATAAGAGCTATATCAATGACAGCTACCGTAATCACAGCTACATATATCGCAGCTACAGTAACCCCAGCTACAGCAATGACATCTACATCAATAACAACTGCATCAATAAAAGCTACAATAATAAGTGCTACATCGATCACAGCTACAGCAATAAAAGCTACACCAATGACATCTACATCAATAACAGCTGCATCAATAAAAGCTACAATAATAAGTGCTACATCGATCACAGCTACAGCAATCACAGCTACATCAGTCACAGCTACATCATTTACAGCTTTATCAATTACAACTACAGTAATCACAACTACATGAATCACAGCTACATCAATTACAGCTACATCAATGACAGCTACAGCAATCACAGCTACATTAATCACAGCTACTGCAATCACAGCTACATTAATCACAGCTACATCATTCACTGCTACATCAATCACAGCTACAGCAATCACAGTTACTTCAATCACAGCTACATCAATGACAGTTACAGTAATCACAGCTACGTCAATGACAGCTACAGCAATCACAGCTACATCAATCACAGCTACATCAATTACAGCTACATCAATCACGGCTACATCAATCACAGTTACAGCAATCACAGTTACATCAATTACAGCTACATCAATCACAGCTACATCAATTACAGCTACAGCAATCACAGTTACATCAATCACAGCTACAGCAATCACAGTTACTTCAATCACAGCTACATCAATGACAGCTACAGCAATCACAGCTACAGCAATCAGAGCTACAGCAATTACAGCTTCCATAGTCACCATGTTTCCCAGTTGGTCTTAACGTAGGCTTTTTAAATGTCTCAAAACACAGATTAGGCGATGTATGACATTGAGTGTAAAACATGCCGCCACCATTAGGACTTCCAACAGGATTCATTTCAGCTGGCATGTATGGACGTGGGCCTGAAATGGATTTTATATAAAATATATTATCTTCTACACGTGTTCGCCGCCCCGGAAAATTTAGTCCGCCACCAAAATAAAATATCCAGTGACCCGCTCCCCATCCCCGGAGAAAAAAAGTCTGAAAGAAACACTGCATGTGTAAAACTCGAATTACGCAAGATCGTGTAATATTTCATATATGTTTTTGACTAAAACATCAGAACCCATTTAGAAAACCATTTAATATACATAAGCTACGTTAACTTATTTTGGCTTGGAAACTGAAACTAGATTTTTTTCTTGCTAGGCGAGTTAATTATATCAGTTTATTAACAATTGAAGCGGAAATAGTGTTTGATTTTTACTTTATCGTATACACGAAGTATAAAGAAAGTCTTGTAACCGCGAAAAAAAATCGAGATTTTTGCAAACCTTGACATTTTACGACTACCCTGAAGAAAAACATAGTTTTGCAAGCTCGTCCGTATCTGTGTGCGTGTGTGTGTGTATGTGTGTGTCTGTATACACGATAACTTGAGTACAGTTACAACTAGGTTGATGAAATTTAATATATAAGTATTATATCAAAATCGGAGATCCGTATCAACTTTTGAGCGATTTCCGATAACCGGAAGGGGCACTTTTTCTACTTTAATTTTTTAAAAGCCTATAGCTGGAGTTCTGTTTCAAATAGATAAATGAAATTTCACATGTAAGTAAAAAGTTTCTGCCTTCTGTCAAGCTTTGAAAAATTTCCTTTGACCGGAAGTAGTAATCCCCTGTTGTTTCATATCAGAATATTTTAAAAAGTTTAGGCCTATTATATTTAACAAAACGCAACAGATAAGCCGATGTATCACCTGGATTAATATTGTCAAATGTACAGCAATAAGGACGCCCAAAAGCAGGTGGGTTTATACAAGGTCTGATGGATGATGGATATCCGACTGTGTTATAAGGACTGTTATATCCTATATGATATACATTTGGAGTGAGATTGTCTGAATAATGAAAAAATAGATTAAATATTAAGTAGATCTAGAACTAGTACGAATATAATGTCAGAGTTTTTCTAGGCATCTCTTTGGAGCAGCCCCCCCCCCCCCACGAAGAATGTCTACCGCCCTCCCCCCCTCACATAATGGAATTTAAATAGAAATTATATACTTTTCCTAGTGACCGCCATCCCGGAATATTTAGTCCGCCCCCCCCCCTGAAAATATCAAGTGCCCCCCCCCCCCTGGAGAAAAAAGTCCGCCTGAGTTGTAGCCAACGGCACTGTAAGCCACAGAACTACTATCTCGCATATAGCATCCATTTGGACTGAGGCTATTATTTATGACATCTGCAGATAAGTAAGCACCCAATCCATGTTCACCTTGGTCAACTCGATGAAATGTAACTGTTTTATATAAGAGGTAATGGAGAATTATATATATATATATATATATATATATATATATATATATATATATATATATATATATATATATATATATATATATATATATATATATATATATATATATAAAGTTTAAACCTATTATATTTAACAAAAACTCAACAGATAAGCCGATGTATCACCTGGAGTGCTGCCATATGGAGGTAAAGAGGCACTATAGCCAGGTGGTCTTATTGGTCCCATTGAAGATGGATAAGGAATATGAAATCTATTTGGACTTAAATTGTCTGCATAATGAAAGAAATAGATTAAATGTTAAGTAGATCTAGAACTAGTACGAATTTAAATGCATCTACGGACTGTAAGTCTACAGATCTGTGTCTAGTGTTAGAGTTTTTCTAGGCATCTCTTCGGAGCCCCCCCCCCCCCCCCACCGAAGAAAGTCTACCGCCCCCCCTCACATAATGGACTTTATATAGAAATTATATACTTTTCCTAGTGACCGCCATCCCGGCAAATTTAGTCCGCCCCCCACCTCTGAAAATATCAAGTGCCCCCCCCCCCTGAAGAAAAATGTCTGCCTGAGTTGTAACCAACGGCACTGTAAGCCACAGAACTACTATCTCGCATATAGCATCCATTTGGTCTGAGACTATTATATATGACATCTGCAGATAAGTAAGCACCCAATCCATGTTCACCTTGGTCAACTCGATGAAATGTAACTGTTTTATATAAGCGGTGATGGAGAATTATATATATATATATATATATATACATATATATATATATATATATATATATATATATATATATATATATATATATATATATATATAAATATATATATATATATATATATATATATATATATATATATATATATATATATATATATATAAACTTTTATATAATATACATGTATATATATATAGGCCCTACATTCATCGCCTATTCTTTTCCTCTTGCCCACTAAGCTGTTAATTTTTTTTAGTTTTATATAAAAGGCGGTGATTCGCATTCATAGAAATTATACATGATTTAGCGGCCTAAGGTTCTCTTCCGCAGTCGACAATCTGTTGTCGTTGATGCTGTTCTTAGAGCAAACCTTTCTGAACTGTTTTTGTAGAAGACACAAGTGTAAGCTTCAAACCTCTCAATTCCAAACATCTTTCTATTAACCCAAACACCAACTCTAGCACTCCCATTCTCGGGTAGCGATACTGCTCTGTACGGGGACCACTGGTGTGGGTTAAGCATGTATCCTTAAAGTAAAACTATGTTAATCACAGCACTAACATCATTTATATCACAAGTTGTATATATATATATATATATATATATATATATATATATATATATATATATATATATATATATATTATATATATATATATATTATATATATATATATTATATATATATATATATATATATATATATATATATATATATAAATATATATACTATATATATACTATATATATATATACTATATATATATATATATATATATATATATATATATATATATATATATATATATATATATATATATATATATATATATACTATATATATATACTATATATATATATATATATATATATATATATATATATATAATTAACACTATAGGCTACCTGGTTCCATTTTTCAGCTTCGCAAAAAGATGTATCTGTTTAAAAAAAATTAAGTGGATTTAATGTATTAGTTTAAATGTTTCGAACACCTAAGAATAAACAATTGATAATGTGTGCTTCACATTACTTGTAGATTCTAATAAATGGGGAAAATATTTGGCAACTTTTTACATTGACGACTATAGACGCTTTAATTATCAGACAAACACAGCTATAGACATAACAGAGTTTCTTCCAGTCATCTCTTCGATGAAAGTCTACCGCCCTCCTACGAACGAAATGGAATCTATATAAAAAACATATACTTTCACTAGTGCCCCCCCCCCACCCGAAAATGTTTTCCGGCCCTCAGAAAATATCAATTGGTCCCCCCCCCCCCCCCGAAGAAAAAAGTCTGGAAGAAACACTGATAACATCTAATACCTTCAGCATTAGATTTCGAGAACTTATGATGTCGCTGCAATAAACCAGCTCTGATGGGTATCTGACCCTATTTACGTTCACGTCATATGCCTAAGTCACATAAATAGGTGAACTCTACTCCACCTGTACCACCAGATTTGGGAGAGCAAATTTACATGCAATGCTGTGCAAGATTACGACTAAAACGAGATTATCTCGACTCCTTAGGGTGCACTACAGCTCACTTGGTAACGTCTTGTTGTATCTGGATTGGTCTACTGTAACAGGCACGTGAAACTCTATGTCCTTTTTGCACTCTAGCATAGTGCTCTAGTTGATTTCATGTGCAGTATCTAAACTTAATACTGAATTACTATATCTATATGAGAGAATCACTGTTTGCAGGCGTGAACCAATTTAATCTATGTACAAATAGTGAAAATAAGAAACTTAGTGAGAATCAAAACTTAATACGTTACCTTCTCAAAGCAATATATTCACATTCCTCTTCATTAACATAGCTAAAGGGTCCTTCCCATTATGATCAAAATCACCTCCCTTAAAATCACCGTATCTGTCTTTTTCCGATCGAATTTTATAAATTTAAATATATTTTCTCATTAATATCAATTTAAATGTTGTTAGTGGACAAGATGGTGTAAATACAACCGTTCATTATCGCGTACCGCTTAAATCAGAACTAGTGCTTACTCTTTAAAATCATGGTGTGCAACCTTAACCATAAACATGGTGTGCAATCTTAACATATAGGCTATTCTAGTTCGGTCCCGCTGTGAGATCACAGTCCAGGATCCATGATGTTTGTGTAAAGTAGGATACAAAAAAAATAGCAAATCATTTAAAAAGAACTATATAGCAATGTGTCATTGTTGATCTAATTTGTAGCTACGATACGTTTAGTAACAAGACTTCATGTGCGCGCCAGTTGATCTTTTAATTTACGAAGGAAAACCACACTAACACATACGAGAGTGCCTAGAACTCAGTCAATCAGTTCAAACAATCCACAAGTAGAACAACAGAAGCTGGCTGATTTTACCAGAAGGTTGCAGCGTTCCTGACTAACAATCTTCTTTCCAGTTTGTGTATATACTAGTCAGGTTTGATCTTGTGCTGTGTATCAACTAGTCAGGTGTGATCTTGTGTTGTGTATCAACTAGTCAGGTTTGATCTTGTGTTGTGTATCAACTTGTCATGTTTGATCTTGTGTTGTGTATCAACTAGTCAGGTTTGATCTTGTGATGTGTATCATGTTGTCAGGTTTGATCTTGTGTTGTGTATCATATTGTCAGGTTTGATCTTGTGTTGTGTATCAACTAGTCAGGTTTGATCTTGTGTTGTGTATCAACTAGTCAGGTTTGATCTTGTGTTGTGTATCAACTATTTAGGTTTGATCTTGTGTTGTGTATCAACTTGTCGGGTTTGATCTTGTGTTGTGTATCAACTAGTCAGGTTTGATCTTGTGTTGTGTATCAACTAGTCAGGTTTGATCTTGTGTTGTGTATCAACTTGTCGGGTTTGATCTTGTGTTGTGTATCAACTAGTCAGGTTTGATCTTGTGTTGTGTATCAACTAGTCAGGTTTGATCTTGTGTTGTGTATCAACTATTTAGGTTTGATCTTGTGTTGTGTATCAACTTGTCAGGTTTGATCTTGAGTTGTGTGTCAACTAGTCAGGTTGGATTTTGTGTTGTGTATCAACTAGTCAGGTTTGATCTTGTGTTGTGTATCAACTTGTCAGGTTTGATCTTGTGTTGTGTATCAACTAGTCAGGTTGGATATTGTGTTGTGCATCAAATATTTAGGTTTGATCTTGTGTTGTGTATCAACTTGTCAGGTTTGATCTTGTGTTGTGTATCAACTTGTCAGGTTTGATCTTGTGTTGTGTATCAACTAGTCAGGTTGGATCTTGTGTTGTGTATCAACTAGTCAGGTTTGATCTTGTGTTGTGTATCAACTATTTAGGTTTGATCTTGTGTTGTGTATCAACTTGTCAGGTTTGATCTTGAGTTGTGTGTCAACTAGTCAGGTTTGATCTTGTGTTGTGTATCAACTAGTCAGGTTTGATCTTGTGTTGTGTATCAACTAGTCAGGTTTGATCTTGTGTTGTGTATCAACTTGTCATGTTTGATCCTGTGTTGTGTATCAACTAGTCAGGTTTGATCTTGTGTTGTGTATCAACTAGTCAGGTTTGATCTTGTGTTGTGTATCAACTTGTCAGGTTTGATCCTGTGTTGTGTATCAACAAGTCAGGTTTGATCTTGTGTTGTGTATCAACTAGTCAGGTTTGATCTTGTGTTGTGTATCAACTAGTCAGGTTTGATCTTGTGTTGTGTATCAACTTGTCAGGTTTGATCCTGTGTTGTGTATCAACTAGTCAGGTTTGATCTTGTGTTGTGTATCAACTAGTCAGGTTTGATCTTGTGTTGTGTATCAACTTGTCAGGTTGGATCTTGTGTTGTGTATCAACTAGTCAGGTTTGATCTTGTGTTGTGTATCAACTAGTCAGGTTTGATATTGTGTTGTGTATCAACTAGTCAGGTTTGATATTGTGTTGTGTATCAACTAGTCAGGTTTGATCTTGTGTTGTTTATCAACTTGTTAGGTTGGATCTTGTGTTGTGTATCAACTAGTCAGGTTTAATCTTGTGTTGTTTATCAACTAGTCAGGTTTGATCTTGTTTTGTGTATCAACTAGTCAGGTTTGATCTTGTGTTGTGTATCAACTAGTCAGGTTTGATCTTGCGTTGTGTATCAAATAGTCATGTTTCATCTTGTGCTGTGTATCATATTGTCAGGTTTGATCTTGTGTTGTGTATCAACTAGTCAGGTTTGATCTTGTGTTGTGTATCTACTAGTCAGGTTTGATCTTGTGTTGTGTATCAACTTGTCGGGTTTGATCTTGTGTTGTGTATCAACTAGTCAGGTTTGATCTTGAGTTGTGTTTCAACTAGTCAGGTTTGATATTGTGTTGTGTATCAACTAGTCAGGTTTGATCTTGTGTTGTGTATCAACTTGTCAGGTTTGATCTTGTGTTGTGTATCAACTAGTCAGGTTTGATCTTGTGTTGTGTATCAACTTGTCAGGTTTGATCTTGTGTTGTGTATCAACTAGTCAGGTTGGATCTTGTGTTGTGTATCAACTAGTCAGGTTTGATCTTGTGTTGTGTATCAACTATTTAGGTTTGATCTTGTGTTGTGTATCAACTTGTCAGGTTTGATCTTGAGTTGTGTGTCAACTAGTCAGGTTGGATTTTGTGTTGTGTATCAACTAGTCAGGTTTGATCTTGTGTTGTGTATCAACTTGTCAGGTTTGATCTTGTGTTGTGTATCAACTAGTCAGGTTGGATATTGTGTTGTGCATCAACTAGTCAGGTTTGATCTTGTGTTGTGTATCAACTAGTCAGGTTTGATCTTGTGTTGTGTATCAACTTGTCGGGTTTGATCTTGTGTTGTGTATCAACTAGTCAGGTTGGATCTTGTGTTGTGTATCAACTAGTCAGGTTTGATCTTGTGTTGTGTATCAACTATTTAGGTTTGATCTTGTGTTGTGTATCAACTTGTCAGGTTTGATCTTGAGTTGTGTGTCAACTAGTCAGGTTTGATCTTGTGTTGTGTATCAACTAGTCAGGTTTGATCTTGTGTTGTGTATCAACTAGTCAGGTTTGATCTTGTGTTGTGTATCAACTTGTCAGGTTTGATCCTGTGTTGTGTATCAACTAGTCAGGTTTGATCTTGTGTTGTGTATCAACTAGTCAGGTTTGATCTTGTGTTGTTTATCAACTTGTTAGGTTGGATCTTGTGTTGTGTATCAACTAGTCAGGTTTGATCTTGTGTTGTGTATCAACTTGTCAGGTTTGAACGTGTGTTGTGTATCAACTAGTCAGGTTTGATCTTGTGTTGTGTATCAACTAGTCAGGTTTGATCGTGAGTAGTTAGGTTTACCATGCTCTTGGATTTGTTGTGAGCAAGAGAATCAGTAAAACACGCTTAAAGATTTACAAATGTAAATTGCCGACATTATATTTTGAATTTTTATTAAATGTAATGATGGTATGAAGGAAAACTCTTAAGTTAATTAATATATTAATAACATAAGATGATAAATATTGCTGGTTTTGCAATGTTTAATTTAAATTTCATAATAATAACTTAAATAACATTTCTTTTCATTGAAAGGTGATAGGTAGACAGTCATAACAAATTGCGATTAAAGAATAGAACGCCAACATTTTGCACGGTTTAAGATTTTACTTAATAAACTCAACAAAACTAATATGATAATGCATTAGGGTAACGAACTAACGATATCACTACGATAAAAAAATGCTTAAGATTTAATGTTGCATTAGAATGTGCCAAGAAGTAATCTCATTTGTAAAATATCACATTAAACACACCCACTCTGATATGTAATTGGAGTAACGACTTAAAACGCCATGAAAGAATATACCATTAAGTCACATGTCTGAACTCTAGAAAATCAATGATATCTGAATATTTACATATAGGACAAACGCATCATAGATTCCCGTAACTGCAGCATGCTCTTCAGCAGCAATTTTGATCTACTTTCCTCTTTTTTTATAACTTTCTAAGTCTCGTCTTTCACACCGGTTTTCATATGTTTCTGTAGGCTTGTCCAATTGTAATTCAGACATAATCAGTCTCCCTTCTGCTTCCCGTTGTCGCATTTGTTTCCTTATTTCAGATCTTGCATCGGAAATCTTTAATTGTGAAGATACCATTTTTCTAATAATAGTCCCTGAAAATTCTTCCTGTTTTTCCAGTGTGTCATGCACGGATGTAGTTAGACTCAGCATCCTGTTGCGTAGGATTACGTCTACTGTATCAACAGAGTTTGGTGTGTCTTATCTTGGATGAACATTTGGGATCGCTGGTTGCACGGTCTTGACGGTTATCCCAGGGTGTCCAGCTTCGGTGATGCGGTCTTTAGTTTTCTGGACATTCTTATAATTTGCTTTTGTATATCGTCGATCACGAAACACCAACACATCGACCATTTGAATCAACTGGTCGATTTGTTCAGTTATTAGCAACTCGTCTTTGGTTTTTTTTGTCAAACAAAATCACTCTATGGAAGCACTCCTCGAGCAAATCCTTAAAGGCGCCATCTTGTTTTTGGCACCACTCTGAGAAGGCCAATCCTTCTGGATCTGTTTCCTCCTGATCTTGATGAAAAATATCTCCGCACGTCAAGATTAAAATACAAAATTTTCGAACAAAATCATCTACGAATATTTTCTTTAACAACACAACCGACTCCTGTTCTTCACGTGCCATATTTAAAGACCAGAATAAAAGCATGATAGCCTTCAGGATTGGCTGCCAGAGCCAAATGAGCGGCCTCGTTCAACTGCTCAACTGACCCCTCATCGTCCAATCTAGTATCACAAATTGTCAGACCATCTACGACGTTTATCTGACGACGGTTGTATTCTGTCATCGCGTTGTCAATGTTTTGGGTTAACGATGATGTACTAGGGCCGCTTGCAAATTTCGTTTTTTCGCGGGATGCTGTTTCCCGTCGCACTTTTACCATTTCTAGTTTTCCCGATAAGGAGAAGATCGATTCTAGCTTTATTGTTCTAGAGAAAAACAGAAACATAATAAATATAAAATGAGTGTATATAAAATAATTGTATATGAAGAACAATGTTTACCCAACAAAACATACGGATTTATATATTGATTATATTCGTAATATTCTACACACGATAATAAAACTTTCCGAACACAATTTATGATCCTAATTCCATCATGGTTTTCACTCTTTGAATTGATAGTATTTATGCCTGATGTGTGTTTACATGGGGGAGACCGGAACTCTAGTACCTAACGTTGATATTAGCGCTCTCTACCTCTGTACCCCTCAGCCATACTGTGGTGTTATTACTGATATTACTATCAAGACAATAGGGTCCGTCTTACATAGCGAACTGATATATTCTGCTGGACATTTAAGTGTAGAAAATAGCTAAATAGACATGTTAATATCAACTTTCCTTATGATCGTGAGATATCTCATCCCTATAAAAAGGTTCTGACAAAGACTTAGTATTTTACATAAATCGAACATAGCGATACACGAGTAGATTTTGCAACTAGGCTTAAACCAGATACTCTCTGACGTAATCCATTTTCCTTTTGTTCTCAGCTAGCAAATAAATGGCTGGGGCTAGAATACAACAAATATTAATTACACGTGTGAGTAGAATTTATGTTGCATTAATTTTCTAAACAGTTTTGATCACTAGGGGAGGGGGGGGGGGGGGTAAATGCTTCAACAATCAAATATGAATAGAAAATCCATTCAAACGTTTTATCTGTAATTATACGTCAAAGAGTGTACAATTTTACCAACATATGCACGATGGATACTTTGCTATAGACCTGCATGCAATTTTAAAACGCCACACTTTCTCCGGCAAAATTCGATCGTTACCATCGTTACGACTTATTGCGATTTTTTTCTCTCCTTGAAATAAACATTGATTTTGATCGTGTAATTAATTTAACAGTTTATTTTGCGAATAGTTAAAATTCTATCTACAACTTTACATTTACTGGCGTACAAAAGTTTATGTGGTCTATGTACTCACAACACCCAGATGGTAGGACTAGGTAAACCTTAGTCGTAAATTTAGTAATGTGGGCGAGAGTGAATTAATGAATATGGCTTTAAATATGAGTATATTTGTAATGCTTAGGGGTGGGGAGGAGGGGGGGGGGGGTGGAAATCGACCACAGAGATATAAAACAAACGAATGAAAGCTGGAAGAAACCAAGCGGTTACAGAAAACTGTAGTATTCAAATAATTAAGTATGTTTTGATAGTAAAAGCCAACCACTTAGCCTTCAGTTAGGCCTTAATGTATCACCAATGAATGACGTCATTCTTTTGCAGCGTGTCTTTCTCCCACAACAATCCCCAGTTTTCAACACACGAAAAAAAAACCTGACTTCTCAAAAATCACGTCGCTAAGTTCTACTTAACCTCTTCCCGCCACAAATCACAATTTCTATTTAAAACAATATGTTCATCTTATATTTGTTCTGTAATAGTGCACGCTGTCTTAACCCCGGATAAGCGACGTCATTTATGGGTGATCTAATATTGGTTGGATTACTGCAAATAAAGAGTTCAAAAGTTCGACCTCCGGACAATCGTTGTCGTCTTGTATGGACAGGAATAAGTCTGAAAAGGTCTATTAGCCATTTATTTTTAACTATATTAGAAAAAAAAGAAAAATTACTATACAGCCTTATATTAAAACAATAAAAAAAAACTACCATATAAAACCACAAAATCAACACAACATGCATGCGAATAAACAATTTTTCAATTGAAACTACTCTATTATTGTTTTTGAAACATGGCCGCTGCTCGTGTTTACTCGATTGTTGTCTCGAACAGGTTAGTTTAAAGTTTATTCCAGGATACTTTTGACTGGTTTGATATTGAAATGTGATTTTTTATTCTATTATCTGTTATATTATGTAAAATATGGCTTAAATATGGCCACATGAAAGAAGTATTCACTATTTACAATGACCGTACATTACTAGCTTCGTTGGAATTTACGACGCTAAACTAATCATGGTGCGAATCCAAAGTCACACATATATTATTTTATTTCCTGGACGATTGTTTACAAGCTCAAACTACCAGTAACACTTTAGCTGTGTTGTGGAGTGAAATTCATTTAGAGCTAGATCTAGAACCCACATATAGAGACGACACTTGGCAAAGTTAGACTTTTGGAACAATTTCCATCTGATGTCAGGACGCTGAGATGTCCAAAAAAGATAATGACAGATTTAACCAATTCCACCATAGCAACAATAAAAGCGGTTATATAGGCCCTGGTTGATTGGCCTTACATAGTTAATGAATTTTTTTAACACGCATGCGTGGCGTAATATTAAAATTCCATGGTATAATGTTCTGAGTCCCACAAACAGTTTTCATGGTGGCTTTACTTACACAACTATTGTAGCAATTTACTTGGATCTAACACATATTACATCTAGTGATGTATTTGGTTTTATTAAGATTGTTGTAACGTTTCGCCCTGACTCCCCCACCGAGTCTGTGTAGCAAATAGGCAGGTTTGCGTTCAGTCTGTGTATCAACTAGTCAGTTCTGAACTTGTGTTTAGGCTATTTATCAACTAGTCAGGTTTGATATTGTTTTTAGTTTGTGTATCAACTTGTCAGGTTAAATATTGTGTTCGGGTTGTGTTTCAATTAGTCAGTTCTGAACTTGTGTTTAGGCTATGTATCAACATGTCAGGTTTGATCGTTGATACCCGGGTCTCCCTGACTATTGATGCTCTAATGTGTACCTGCCACACAGATACTTGAACACCGTAAAAGTCATTCAAAACCTTGCATGGTGGTCTATTTCACAGCTCGTAGCACCGTGTCTGTATCCATACAGGGATGTACAAGGATACCGACGAAAACATTATTTTAAAATAATTTCTACCGTTTCTTAATATAAAATATTTATAAAAAATTATTTCATCCTAATATTTGCAAGCTATAACTTACATATTCAAATTGTAATGTTTGCATAAATTGTATATTGATTGGTTATTCGATTAAATGATTATATACGTGGAGATTTCAAGTTAAATTTAAATATCCAGCCTTAAGTTTTCTTCAGCTAACTCTTTTCTTTAAAAGTCATCCTCTCATACACATTCTTTAGACCAATATTTCACGACAAATTTCACACTGCCTTCTTTCATTCACCATGAGGATTAACAATTAATTTGAATTAAGTAAATGTAAACTAGCGTGACAGTGATAACCGTGCTCGAGGGTCCACTATAAAGTACAACACCAAACAGGTGCTAACATTTCGACCATAAGACCAAATAGAAGGAAAGAAAGAAAAAGAAATGTATTTCAAAAGTTTTGATACAGTCTAGACTGTAAGAGTACTATCTTTTTTATACGCTTAAGTCAATTAGTTAACTCTGAACAGAACTGATTTTTTTAAAATGATGAATTCGGACAATAAACATTTTCTGTACAATATTTAAGAAAGTGACATAATTCGTTTGTAGTTGTGCAAACAGCCAGCGCTGTAACTTTATTTTAATTAAAATAAGAGAAGAAAAACTCCGCCGCCTAAACACCACCAGCTTTATGGTGCCAAAACGTTTATAAAGTAACGGAACTTTTATTTACAGAGCTCATAACTGACAAAAGGTTGAGGCGACACTGGAATTCTCACCTGAACTTAAGACAGTTGTTGACTCAAGTCACCTGAACTTAAGACAGTTGCTGCCTTAAGTTTGTCTATGCATTCTCAACCTGCTTCAGTCCTTCCTGTACCAGTTTCAGGCTTTCCGAAAGAATATTTTTGAGGTCAAAAGTTCCCCCTCCTTGTGCTTGTCCAGCCTGTTCCATTGCTCTGGGAATCGTTTGAGGTCCGCGCTCCTTGTCTCGCCTCTGTTGCACCAGATCTTCAAATCTCTTCTGATGATTGCGTTCTATTTCCCTCCTCTGCTGCTCATGGCGTTTTAAGTCGTCAATCTGATTTTCAAAATCCTCCCTTTGATTTTTCAGCTCTTTATCGAATACCTGTTTCATTTCTTCTTCCTGTTGTCGACTTTGTTGTGTTTCTTCAATACATATGCGAGAGAAATCGTTTTCATTAGAAACCTTTTTTTGTCGAGTTTCCAAGGTTTGAGTCAGGTCTCGAAAACCTCCTGAGAATTCTTCCAGCTTGGCAAGAATGACCTGGACAGTATTGGTTTGACTCAACATCTTGTCAAGTGTGACTAAGTCTACTGTCTCATGTGAGACTTGCGGCTGGTCAACAACTGGACGTTCTTCTTTGACCGTGGTCTCGCCGTTTATCGTGAGCACCTTTGGTTTGGCTGCCACATTATCTTTGATTTTCTGAGCCTTTTCATAGCGAGCTTCCGTATAACGTCGATCGCGAAATCTCAACTCATCAACCATTTTGACTAATGTGTCAACTTGTTCTTTTTTCTTTTTCTTGTTTTTGGTTTTATTATCAAACAAGACCACCCTATTGCAACACTCCTCGAGCAAATCCTTAAAGGCGCCATCTTGTTTTTGGCACCACTCCGAGAAGGCCAATCCTACTGAATCTGTTTCCTCCTGATCTTGATGAAAAACATCTCCGCATGTCAAGATTAAAATACAAAATTTACTAACAAAATCATCTCCAAATATTTTCTTTAACAACACAACCGACTCCTGTTCGTCACGTGTAAACCTATTGCCGTATTTCAGGACGAAAAGAAAAGCATGATAGCCTTCAGGATTGGCTGCCAGAGCCAATTTTGCTTCATCATTCAACTGCTCAACTGACCGTTCATTATCCAGCCTTGTGTCACAAAATGCCAGACCATCCACGACCTTAATCTGACGACCCTTGTGTTCTGTGATATCGGCGTCGAACTCTTTCGTCACAGAAGATGTACTGGACTCGCTCGCAAACTTTCGTTTTCCTGCAATGGAATTTCCAGTCGCACTTTTGCCATTCCCGGTTTTTCCAATCAAGAGCAGGTCGATCCTAGTTTGTATATTCATACTTTTCTGGAAACAGAAAAGCAAAATACTGTACAGCTGCAAAATATTGGATAGCTGTAAAATATAAACATATGTAGCATAGCATTCATCAAACGTAAGGTATTTATTTTATCCAGTTCAGCTAAAGTTGAATGCATATCTGACACCAGGGGAAACCAGAATTTTATGTATGTTCAAAACTCGATAGCCCTACTAAAAGTTATTTTCTACAACACTAAGATCGAGAAAATATAACTATTATTTCTTAGTACTCATAATTTTTAAGAGCATTATAAATCTAATATGTGTTATATCTTTCTTTATTCTTAAAATTTTAACTAAACAGTAGCATATTTTGCAAAAAAAGTTATCTATAACAATAAAGTCAAACTTTTGATCAGTACGGTATAGCTCTACTTATATTCAAGGAAATGTAATTATTTCACTACTAGAAACTGCAATCGATTTATTTCTAAATCCAACATCCATTGGTAAAAACTAGATCTTAGTCTGTTTCAATATGAGTTGGGGGATGTTAAAAATTCACCATCAATATAACAAAAAATCTGTCACTGTCTAATAGTACTTTCACAATGTAGCAGACGCATAAATGCTTGGGAAAGAGGTAGCATGAGTTTTAGGTGGAGCAAAAAACTTACTTTTAAAACATTTGCTTGATTTTTTTTTTCAAAAATCATAAAATTAATTTAATAATGCTACTGTAGAATAAGTAGTTTCCTCTCATATTTGTTCAGTAAAATAATTTGTTGGCAGAAAATAGGAAAATGTTTTCACTCCTGCAAAATTTTTATCTCCGGAAATAATAGTTTTGAAACACGATCAGTAACTTGCGAACTCTAAAAGACATTTATCTACACATTCTTTATCCGTGGGTATCTTTCAAGCAAAAAACTAATCAGTTCACCGTCGTCAAGCAATTGATAGTTTATAATTCTTCCATCTCCTTTTTCATTTAATGTAGGGATCATTATTTATATATATATAAATGACTAATCTAATGTCTAGTAGACTCAACATGTGAAATCATTTCAGTGTCATCAGGGGCGAATGTATATGGAAAGTTACGAAATCGTAGAGTTAAAAGTGTTCGAAATGGAGTTACTAGATTTACTAAAAATCCTGTCAAATAATATTTGAGCCGCTCGTACCATATTTAAATGTAATGCATGCATATCACCTTACATGCTACTCAACAAAACATCAAACTAAAATCTATAATACTGACTCTTATACAGACTTACCCTCAACTTTTCTTCGTGCCTTACAGAATGTGGTCTGCTAGTATTTATCCTGCAGCCATCTTTTTATGTGGAAGAAGGGGCATTACAATTATATATATATATATATATATATATATATATATATATATATATATATATATATATATATATATATAATATGTCGAAAAAAAAAATTTTAATTTAAAAAAATCAGTTTTAAAAAAATTGCAAAATCTAGGTTCAAGCAATATTATAATGTTTCTTATATCAAACGCTTAACTAATTATCTGATTGAAAAAAGTTAATGAATTTGTGTGGGAATTAATTACAAACCCATTAAATGCAGATGTCAAGAAAAAAAGAGGAACTTTACTTCTTTTGGTGTTTTGAAAGTAAAATCTATATATTCCAACTTGTATATTTTAATAATATGTGAAAGTTAGATTCAATACTAGCTTGCCCGTCCCCGCGATATCCAGGGCGCCAAATCTCCCCCTGCCGTTACGCCGCCCGTGCGAATTTGAATTATTTTTTCCCCCAGAAACCTCCCCAGTAGTATGTATTTTTAAAGTTTCATGGCGATCAGATGAAAAGTGTAGCAATGCATAAATAACAAAATCAAAATCTGACGAAATATATTAGAACGGTTTTATCAATGCTTTACCAATCCTATATTTTAGACGCGTGACCTTGTTTTCCAAAACCTAGTTATTTAAATGTAAACACTGGCTCAGTTTGGGTCATATTTATAAGGGTACGGGGTTCCTACACTACGGCCCCAAAAAAAGCCCGGGTTTGCAAATCGTACTCTGCCGAGACGCCAGTGGACGCGCTTGATTATGTATAGTGAACGACTCTAAAACACAGTCTTTTACATAGTCTTTCGCAAAGTTTGAAACGGACATAGGAGGCGTCATATCGCTAACAGGATAGCCCGGGATTTTAAATCTTACCCTGCCGATGCACCGCCGGGCGCCCCATCGTATCCATTGTCTATCTCACTATTTAAAAAGAACGAAGGCACCATAGCGCTCAAGGAAATTCCACGGCGCCAAATCGGTTCCTGGCGTGGGCTGCCCGTGCGAAATTACCCCCCCCCCCCCCCCACCCCAAATCTTCTCGGGAGTATTCATCAACTCCTCAAAGTTTTATGGCACTCGGACAAAACGGTTCCGAAACCGCATCCGACTTTCAATTTTTTGATATACGTATATAGATAAGAATCGCACCCTCCCGTGGCGCCGCTCTTGCGATATTAAAAATATATATTTTCACAGCAGTAACCTTTCTTGGAGTGTTCTCGTCAACTTCTTAAAATTTGATGGCGATCTGGTGAACGGTGTCAAACCGAAATCGACTTTTTTTTAATATACCGTATATAGAGAAAAAACAAATAACGTCTTCGTTTAACCCATATTATCCCAAGGTCTCAAATTTTTATAATTTTTTGATATGGTTTAGCTTTTGGGCACTGAATGAAGGAATGACTATGGATTTTTTTTTTAAATCAATACTTTTTTAAATATCGATTTTTTAAAAAACGTCCCATAAATGGGACGCTAGCAACGAACGGCCCCATGTACATTTATTGAAAAATACAATCATTTATCATGAAATATGGCTAATCACGCAAAAATTAAGCTGTATACTGATTTTGTATTGTTAGACCAATGATTACATTGTTAAGGGCAGCTAAGCTAAAAATACTGATAATGATCAATTGGGTTAGCCATACCATGGTCTAAAATGCAGAAATTATGTTCAAAAGTCTAGTTTTCTTTCAATCTAGCATCCATCAAAGTGAATAACACTTGGAAATAAGTAAAGCTGTGACTAGTACATCTAATTATACAACCATGATCACAAATATTGTTATTATTCATCGAAACTGTAATATAATTAAATATAAATAATTGATGTTTTTTTTTGGGGGGGGGGGGGGCGTACTTGAAGTTTTCAGGGGTGGGGACTTAAATTTCAGGGGATGGGTGGACATTGGTAAAAGTATACTTTGTATATAAATTCCATTTTGTTCTGGGGGCAGAGCCCCCCCCCCTCCTCCTCCTCCGAAATGATGCCTGTCCCAGATGTCATCCAGCCATTTTATCTTTTCTTACCCTCGCTATTCCCCCCCCCCCTCACAGGTGTACATTAGGACATCAGACATCTTATTTCTATGGCACGGATCCGTCTCTGGGGGCCTGTATTGAGTGTTCATTGCTCTCATCCATGTATGCATCTCACTATGCGAACAGCTCCCAATCTAACACTAGGAATCTCCTTAAAAAGTTAACAAAGTAAAACTGATATCGGGAACCTTTGGAGGGGAATATTATAGGGGCATGACAACTGTACACAGCTAATTAACATTTCTGCTATATGTAGCTTAAGCTCCATTATATGAAGAGAGTTAACCAACCCCCATGACTGAATCGTTTCACCTAAATCGTGGCCATCGTTATTATTCTGGTTTGTTATAATTTTAATATCACGCGCTAGTAAATTTACAGCAATGCTAAATTAGTTTGTATTCAATGGTATTAAATACTTCAGTAAGTGCAATTCTGAAAACTTATAAATAAAATGTAATTTTTTCAATATTTGCAATTTTTTAATACAATAATATATAAAAAAAAATATAGCTCAAGGTCATAATTAAATATCTATAAATACTACTTAACACCCCAAAGTCAACAGTCAACAATTGTTTCACCATAAATAACCATTTAACATACATATTTGCATCTGTGTTTCTCGCTATTGTCCAATAAATGTGACATTTGTGTAACAATCTGCATAAATATAGGTCAAGTTCATAATTAAATATCTATAAATACTACTTAAGACCCCAAAGTCAGCAGTTAACAAAGTCAACAATTGTTTCACCATAAATAACCATTTAACATAAACATTTGCATCTGTGTTTCTCGCTAGTGTCCAATAAATGTGATGTTTGTGTAACAATCTACATGGGGCCATTCGTTGCTAGCGTCCCACTTATGGGACGCTTGTTGTACACTTGATATAACGAAGTAGTAAAAAAAATTGTTATTCTTAAATTTTTATCAGATAGAAATATGGTACTGCTACAAGTTTCAAATATATTTTGCACTTAAAATGTTAATATTTTAGAAGATATGCATTTTCCTGTGCGCATGTTTTCCTTTTTCCGCCATTTTGACAAGTCCTGCAAATCCGGCACTATAACATTTTTCTAAATTAATTTTTTTCACAAAACACACACAAATTCAATAATCTAACCATTTTCAAATACAAAAAAACATAGTTTGTGTTTTTAGTAGTTTTTAATGAATTTTAGCAATTTTTTTTACAAGCGTCCCATAAGTGGGACGCTAGCAGAATATGGTTAATATTGCATAAAGGACAAACACACACACATACATTGCTTTATATATGTATGTGTATATATATATGTATATATATATATATATATATATATATATATATATATATAAATATATATATATATATATATATATATATATATATATATATATATATATATATATATATATATAAATATATATATATATATATATATATATATATATATATATAATGCAATGTATGTGTGTGTGTGCGTGTGTGTTTGTTTGTTAATTTGTTAATTTGTTTGTCTGTCTTTTATGCATTAATACACCTTTCATCCAATTGGCATGAAGCTTTGGAAATTTGTTGAGAATACTCATGGGGAAGTTTCTAAGGGGAAAAATATTCAAATTGTCAGTTGTGGCACCGCAGAATGCGATTTGTTTTTCTCTATATACGGTATATATATGTGTGTGTGTTTGTGTGTAAATAAAACGAAATCACCCCACAAGCTACACCTCAAATTTGTATAACCACATTTATTTTAATATCAGTGAACATTATTTTTAAAACAGGAGTTAGAAGATAGTTAAAGATGCTACAAAAATTAAGGTGGAAATTTTGTCCTCTCTTGATTAATATGAGTAGAAAAAAAAGTGTGAAATGTAAAAGGTGTTTAATCAAATATTTAAATCCTACCCGAGAGGTCCGTGAATGAACTCTTAGTTGATGAGGAAGAGCTTTCGTCGAGATGCCGGTCCATTGAAGTGTTCTTTCCACGATCCTCCGATACACCTTGCGTTTCAACATGGAAAGAAAAAAAAAACAAGGAAATAGGTTCGATTGATTTCTTCTAATGTCGTGAACATCTCATAATGTCAATCTAAGCTTTACCTCACTCCCATTCGTGTAAATTTAGCTGGGGAAAATATTTTGCAATATTTTCTGGGCTGCTTGCCGCACTCAGATTTGTGACTTACAGAACTACATCAATGACAGCTACACCAATGACAGCTACATCAATGACAGCTACTTCAATGACAGCTACATCAATGACGGCTACATCAATAACAGCTATATCAATTACAGCTACATCAATGACAGCTACATCAATGACGGCTACATCAATGATAGCTACATCAATAACAGCTACATCAATCACAGCTACATCAATGACAGCTACATCAATCACTGCTACATCAATGACAGCTACATCAATCACTGCTACATCAATAACAGCTACATCAAAAAAGCTACAATAATGAGAGCTACATCAATGACATCTACAGTAATCACAGCTACAATAATGAAAGCTACATCAATCACAGCTACATCAATAAAAGCTACATAAAAAGATACAATAATAAGAGCTATATCAATGACAGCTACCGTAATCACAGCTACATATATCGCAGCTACAGTAACCCCAGCTACAGCAATGACATCTACATCAATAACAACTGCATCAATAAAAGCTACAATAATAAGTGCTACATCGATCACAGCTACAGCAATAAAAGCTACACCAATGACATCTACATCAATAACAGCTGCATCAATAAAAGCTACAATAATAAGTGCTACATCGATCACAGCTACAGCAATCACAGCTACATCAATCACAGCTACATCAATAACAGCTACATCAATAAAAGCTACAACAATGAGAGCTACATCAATGATAGCTACAGTAATCACAGCTACATCAATCACAGCTACTGTAATCACAGCTAGATCAATCACAGTTACAGGAATTAACGCTACATCAATCAAAGCTACAGAAATCACAGCTACAGTATTTACAGCTAAAGTAATCACAGCTACAATAATCACAGCTACAATAATTACAGCTACATCAATCACAGCTACAGCAATTACAGCTACATCAATCACAGCTACATCAATCACAATACATCAATCACAGCTACAGCAATCAATGCAATATCAATCACAGCTACATCAATTAACTCGATATTAATCACCACTGAGGGAATCACAGCTACAAACAGCACAGCTACAGCAATAAGATCTACAGCAATCGCATCTACATCATTCACAGCTAAATCAATTACAGCTACATCAATCACAGCTAGATCAATTACAGCTAAAGCAATTACAGCTACATCAATCACAGCTACACCATTTACAGCTTTATCAATTACAACTACAGTAATCACAGCTACATCAACCACAGCCACATCAATCACAGCTACATCAATCACAGCTACATCATTTACAGCTACAGAAATCACAGCTACATCAATCACAGCTACAGAAATCACAGCTACATCAACAACAGCTACAGCAAACACAGTTTCATCAATTACAGCAACATCAATGAAAGCTACAGCAAACACAACTTCATCAATGACAGCTACACCAATCACTGCTACATCAATAACAGCTACATCAAAAAAGCTACAATAATGAGAGCTACATCAATGACATCTACAGCAATCACAGCTACAATAATGAAACCTACATCAATCACAGCTACATCAATAAAAGCTACATCAATGAGAGCTACATCAAGCACTTCTACATCAATGACAGCTACATCAATAACAGCTACATCAATAAAGATACAATAATGAGAGCTACATCAATGACAGCTACAGTAATCACAGCTACAGCAATCACAGCTACAGTAATCACAGCTACACCAATGACAGCTACATCAATAACAGCTGCATCAATAAAAGCTACAATAATGAGTGCTACATCGATATCAGCTACATCAATCACAGCTACATCAATCACAGCTACATCAATAACAGCTACATTAATAAAAGCTACAACAATGAGAGCTACATCAATGATAGCTTCAGTTATCACAGCTACATAGATCACAGCTACAGTAATCACAGCTACATCAATCATATCTACAGGAATAAACTCTACATCAATCAAAGCTACAGAAATCACAGCTACAGTAATTACAGCTAAAGTAATCACAGCTACATCAATCACAGCTACAGCAATTACAGCTACATCAATCACAGCTACATCAATCACAATACATCAATCACAGCTACATCAATCAATGCAATATCAATCACAGCTACAGCAAATAACTCGATATTAATCACAGCTACAGTAATCACCATTGCAGTAATCACAGCTACAAATAGCACAGCTACAGCAATAAGATCTACAGCAATCGCATCTACATCATTCACAGCTAAATCAGTCACAGCTACATCAATCACAGCTACATCAATCACAGCTACATCATTTACAGCTTTATCAAGTACAACTACAGTAATCACAACTACAACAATCACAGCTACATGACTCACAGCTATATCAATTACAGCTACATCAATGACAGCTACAGCAATCACAGCTACATTAATCACAGCTACATCATTCACTGCTACATCAATCACAGCTACAGCAATCACAGTTACTTCAATCACAGCTACATCAATGACAGTTACAGTAATCACAGCTACGTCAATGACAGCTACAGCAATCACAGCTACATCAATCACAGCTACATCAATTACAGCTACATCAATCACGGCTACATCAATCACAGTTACAGCAATCACAGTTACATCAATTACAGCTACATCAATCACAGCTACATCAATTACAGCTACAGCAATCACAGTTACATCAATCACAGCTACAGCAATCACAGTTACTTCAATCACAGCTACATCAATGACAGCTACAGCAATCACAGCTACAGCAATCAGAGCTACAGCAATTACAGCTTCCATAGTCACCATGTTTCCCAGTTGGTCTCAACGTAGGCTTTTTAAATGTCTCAAAACACAGATTAGGCGATGTATCACATGGAGTGTAAAACATGCCGCCACCATTAGGACTTCCAACAGGATTCATGCCAGGTGGCATGTAGGGACGTGGGCCTGAAATGGATTTTATATAAAATTTATTATCTTTTACACGTGTTCGCCGCCCCGGAAAATTTAGTCCGCCACCAAAATAAAATATCCAGTGACCCGCTCCCCATCCCCGGAGAAAAAAGTCTGAAAGAAACACTGCATGTTTAAAACTCGAATTACGCAAGATCGTGTAATATTTCATATATGTTTTTGACTAAAACATCAGAACCCATTTTGAAAACCATTTAATATACATAAGCTACGTTAACTTATTTTGGCTTTGAAACTGAAACTAGATTTTTCTCTTGCTAGGCGAGTTAATTATATCAGTTTATTAATAACTGAAACGGAAATAGTGCTTGATTTTTACTTTATCGTATACACGAAGTATAAAGAAAGTCTTGTAACCGCGCAAAAAAAAAATCGAGATTTTTGCAAACCTTGACATTTTACGACTCCCTGAGGAATAACATAGTTTTGCAAGCTCGTCCGTATCTCTGTGTGTGTGTGTGTGATTATGTGTGTGTCTGTATACACGATAACTTAAGTACAGTTACAACTAGGTTGATGAAATTTAATATATAAGTATTATATCAAAATCGGAGATCCGTATCAACTTTTGAGCGATTTCCGATAACCGGAAGTTGCACTTTTTCTACTTTAATTTTTTAAAAGCCTATAGCTGGAGTTCTATTTCAGATAGATAAATGAAATTTCACATGTAAGTAAAAAGTTTCTGCCTTCTGTCAAGCTTTGAAAAATTTCCTTTGACCGGAAGTAGTCATCCTCTGTTGTTTCATATCAGAATATTTGAGAAAGTTTAGGCCTATTATATTTAACAAAACGCAACAGATAAGCCGATGTATCACCTGGATTAACATTGTCAAATGTACAGCAATAAGGACGCCCAAAAGCAGGTGGGTTTATACAAGGTCTCATGGAAGATGGATATCCGACTGTGTTATAAGGACTGTTATATCCTATATGATATACATTTGGAGTGAGATTGTCTGAATAATGAAAAAATAGATTAAATATTAAGTAGATCTAGAACCAGTACGAATATAATGTCAGAGTTTTTCTAGGCATCTCTTCGGAGCAGCCCCCCCCCCCCCCACGAAGAATGTCTGCCGCCCCCCCCCCCCTCACCTAATGGAATTTATATAGAAATTATATACTTTTCCTAGTGACCGCCATCTCGGCAAATTTAGTCCGCCCCCCCCCCTGAAAATATCAAGTGCCCCCCCCCCCCCCCCTGGAGAAAAAAGTCCGCCTGAGTTGTAACCAATGGCACTGTAAGCCACAGAACTACTATCTCGCATATAGCATCCATTTGGACTGAGACTATTATTTATGACATCTGCAGATAAGTAAGCACCCAATCCATGTTCACCTTGGTCAACTCGATGAAATGTAACTGTTTTATATAAGAGGTAATGGAGAATTATATATATATATATATATATATATATATATATATATATATATAGAGAGAGAGAGAGAGAGAGAGAGAGAGAGAGAGAGCAAAGAGAGAGAGAGAGAGAGAGAGGGAGAGAGAGAGGGAGATAAATGAAATTTCAAATGAAAGTAAAAGATCAAATTTTTAGCCTTTTGTCAAATTTTGAATAATTTCCGTTGACCGGAAGTACTCAATTCCTTTTGTTTCATATAAGAATATTCGAGAAAGTTTAGGCCTATTATATTTAACAAAAACTCAACAGATAAGCCGATGTATCACCTGCAATGCAACCATAAGGAGGTGGTCTTATTGGTCCCATTGGATATCCGCCTGTGTTGTAAGGAATATGAAGTCCATTTGGACTTAAATTGTCTGCATAATGAAAGAAATAGATTAAATGTTAAGTACATCTAGAACTAGTACGAATTCAAATGCATCTTTGGACTGTAAGTCTACAGATCTGGGTCTAGTGTTAGAGTTTTTCTAGGCATCTCTTCGGAGCACCCTCCCCCACCCCAAGAAGAATGACTACCGCCCCCCCCCCCCCCCCACATAATGGAATTTATATAGAAATTATATACTTTTCCTAGTGACCGCCATCCCGGCAAATTTAGTCCGCCCCCCCCCCCCCCTGACAATATCAAGTGCCCCCCTGGAGAAAAATGTCCGCCTGAGTTGCAACCAATGGCACTGTAAGCCACATAACATATATATATATATATATATATATATATATATATATATATATATATATATATATATATATATATATATATAAAGTTTTATATAATATACAATCTGTTGTCGTTGATGCTGTTCTCAGAACAAACATTTCTGAACTGTCTTTGTAGAAGACACAAGTTTAAGCTTCAAACCTCTCAATGCAATACATCTTTCTATTAACCCCAAAACAAACCCAAACACTCCCATCCTCCGGTAGCGATACTGCTCTGTATGGGAACCACTGGTGTGGGTTAAGCATGTATGTATCCTTAAAGTAAAACTATGGTGCTTAAGATCACTGTACTAACATCTTTTATATGATAAACTAAGAGCATGGAGGAGAGAGATGGAAGAAGTGCAGGCTACTGGCAAGACCTGGCATGAATTGAAGTGGCTCAACCAGGACAGAGTGAAATGGCGAAGATTTGTTGCTGCCCTTTACTCAACAGGGAGTGACGAGGATTAAGTAAGTACATTATATAAATTAATATTCAAAATCTATGTGTAGAATTTAAACTATATGCTACCTGGTTCCATTTTTGAAGAACCCTTCTCGTAAACACAACAGGATATATCTGTTTAAAAAAAAATTAGTAAATTTAATGTATTACTTTTAATGTTTCGCACACCTAAGAATAAACAATGTGTTATTTGTGCTTCACATCACTGTCGTTTCTAAATGGGGAAAATAGTTGGCAACTTTAAACATTGGCAACAGTAGGCCTACATGCTTTAAACGTTTGACTAACACAACCATAAACATATCATGTACGGTCATCTAATATCTTCAGCACTAGATCTCAAGAACTCATGATGATGCTGCAATAAACCAGCTCTGATGGGTATCTGACCCTATTTACGGTCACATCATATGCCTTGGTCACATAAATAGGTGAACTCTACTCCGCCTGGGCCACCAGATTTGCGAGAGCAAATTTACTTGCAATGTTGTGCAAGATTACGTCTAAAACGAGATTATCCCGACTCCTTAGGGTGCACAACTGATCACCACTTGGTGACGTCTTGTTGTATCTGGATTGGTCTACTGTAACAGGCATGTGGAGTTCTATGTCCCTACTGCACTCTTGTAATGTGCTCTAGATTATTTCATGTGCAGTATCTAAACTTAATACTGAATTACTATATCCATATGAGAGAATCACTGTTTGCAGGCGTGAACCAAATTATTCTATGTACAAATAGAGAAAAGAAGAAACTTAGTGAGAATCAAAACTTAATACGTTACCTTCTCAAAGCAATATATTCACATTCCTCTTCATTAACATGGCTAAAAGGTTCTTCCCATTTTGATCAAAATCACCTCCCTTCAAATCATCGTATCTGTCTATACATGTTGCAAAGTAAGAGAGCTTTTACAGTTTAAAATGATGTCATTTCAACCCACCGCATACTAGTATACACAATTCTTTGAAAAAAAAGCAAGATATTTATAAAAGTGATAAAATAAGTTTTTCTAGCCCCACCCCCCCCCTTTTCAGCCTGTCATCTCTTTAAACAGATAGATCATCATTAAAATAGTTGAATAACCCCCCCCCCCCTCAAAAAAAAAACACACACACGCATGGTAGAATAGTAGGCACGTGTCTACACAATTTAGGAAAATGTAAAATGTGAAAGCTCGGTAAACTGTGCTGTCTTAGCACATCCACCGCTCTGAGCTTAGCACATCCACTGGCTCTGAGTTTAAATGAAAACTGCGGTTGTTTTCTATGGTTTAAAACCCGTTTAACGGGCGCGAGCGAGTTAACTCCTCCCATCATGTTAATGACAAGGATTAAAAACGTGATTTTTTTTAGATTTAGTAAACAAAGCGTTAGAATCAATGCTATAAAAGTTGCAACTCCAGAGAACTTGAAAATAATTTGTTGAGTTTAAGGCTACATTTTTATTTATTTTCACTTTCGTAAGACAAATATTGTCTCCGTGATCGACAACTCTTTGTTTACAAAACTTTGCAGAAACAGTTTTAAAAAAAACAATGCAAATTTAGACCCCATGACATAGTTTTCCTTTGTTTTCGCTTACAATGTTTACAATAAATTTTATGGCAGCCTATCAAATAGCAGGATGAAATTGTTTATGTCGCCATTACACGTGAAAACCAAATAATTTTTGCTTTTTTATTTTTTATTTAGTTACCAAAAATATTAAAAACATCAAATACATTCAATCTTCAGTAAAGTCTGAAAAAAAACCAGACTGACAGGATTGTATAACCATATTAATTGTAACTAAGCCTTGCACGATTTTTAAATTAATTAATGGGCTTCTCGAATACCTTCTCGCTCGCGTCCATTAGTGATTAGGTTGACAGTATGACTCAATATTTTTGGACGTTTGGAAGAAGTCTGAATTACATGGTACATGAACTATAAGAAATCTGTTCATGTTAAATATTGAGTAAAATTACGATAGAGCGTCGGTTATTATTCCGGAATTGTACAGCAGTAAAAAAAAGTAAAGCCATGGCGTAGTCTCCCGAGCCGTTCCGGAAACCACCGAAAATACTGTAAACCATCATTTATTTGCCGCCATATTATTTTTAATACATAATGTTTTAAAATGTGCATGGATTGATTTTGATTGCATTTTAAATACTGTTTTGCTAATTATTTTGTATTTCTATTTATTTTAAGTGTATGTGCTAATTATTGCTGCAACTGAACATTGTTCTAGTTCTTCTCTACTTTTAATTATAGTAAATCTAATCGTCTTATTTTACTAAATCTAGATATAGAGTCTAGTTGTCGCAAATCTTCTGCAAGTTTTTTTTTGTTTCTTTATTAAAAAGAGATTAATTACTACACTTGACTTCATTAATAATATTCAGATTTACTAATTGTTGCTCATTTTCTGTCAATTAAACATAAAATTAAGTTAAACATTAGTTTAATGCGCTAGACTTTATTCTTATTTCAACGGTCAATTAAACTATGGTTTACAGTAACGAATGTTCCCGAAACTCAACAAACATTACCAGATAATTTCCGACGCTATATCGTGAGATTACCAAACATCGTTTGTAAAGTTAACATATGTATTTTATTACCATGTAAACCTCTGGCCGATCGAATTTTTGAAATTTAAATGGATGTTCTCATTAATATCACTTTAAATGTTGTTCGTGGACAAGATGATGGAAATACAACTGTTCATTTCCGCGTACCGCGCAAATCAGAACTAGTGCTCCCTTTTCAAATCATAGTGTGCAATCTTAATCACAAACATGGTGTGCAACCTTAAACATAAACGTGTAGGCTTTGAGCTCGCAGTGGAGAATCCATGATGTTGGTGTAAAATGGGATACAAATAAAAATAGCAAATCATTTTTTAAAAAATTCACCGGCAATGTGTCATTGTTTGATCTAATGTTGTTGATCTAATTTGTAGCTACGAAACGTTTAGTAACACGACTTCATGTGCGCGCCAGCTGATCTTTTAATTCACGAGGTAAAAAACACGGTTCCCAGAAAGAACCGCAACGGAAAAAAGCGCAACGGAAAAAAGCGCAAAACAAAAACCGCAAAGGAAAAAAGCGCACACAGAAAAAAGCGCAAAGAGAAAAAAGCGCACACGGAAAAAAAGCGCAAAGAGAAAAAAGCGCACACAGAAAAAAGCGCAAAGAGAAAAAAGCGCAAAGAGAAAAAAGCGCAAACGGAAAAAAGCGCAAACAGAAAAAAGCGCACAAAGAAAAAAGCGCAAACAGAAAAAAGCGCAAAGAGAAAAAAGCGCAAACGGAAAAAAGCGCAAACAGAAAAAAGCGCAGACGGAAAAAAGCGCAAACGGAAAAAAGCGCAAACGGAAAAAAGCGCAAACGGAAAAAAGCGCAAAAAGAAAAAAAGCGCAAACAGAAAAATGCGCAACCAGAAAAAACACAACAAAAAATTTGCAAAAGAGAAATTTAGCACAAAGACCAAATGGACTAGATGACACATTTATACATGACTGTTAGGACTGCTGTGAGAGTGTCGTGTTTGATCACGTTATCTACTACCATTTAAACCGTAAGAATATTCGAGAAAGTTTAGGGGAGATCATTCCCGGTTTATTTAAGATATTTTACTGAAATGTTTACCGGACGAATGCAAAATGATATAAACAACCATAGCTCTTCTGTTATATATGCTACATGCAGTGTTTCTTCCAGACTCCCCCCCCCCCCTCAAACTTTCGATTTGCACCCCCCCCCCCCCCTCAAACTTTCGATTTGCACCCCCCCCCTTATACTTTATATATATATATATACCGAGGGGTCTATGGGGGGGGTTGACCCCCCCCTAACCCCCCTGCCTACGCCACTGCATATAAGTATTCGCATAGATTTAGAGTAGCGTCCCTTTTGTTTACATGTTTTCATTACCCTTCAAACAAAAGTCTATTTTAGTTATATTGAGATTAAAGAATGTAAATAAACAGTACACACAATTCTGTAGAATAGGAACAATTGGGAGGAAAGTAACATTTAGCGCAGGAAATTTAGAGGTTAGGTAGGGTATAATAAATGGTGGGGATAGGAAAGTTAAGGGGTCCATTCTCTAATAGGCAGTCTATGTCTCTTTCGTACTTTCGTTTTGGTTTATTGTCGAACCTGTCCCCACCTCACATCACAACAGTTGGGTGACGCTTACCGTGTAATGTTAACATAAATAGCATGTAATTGAGTTAGTTCGAAGTGAGTTTTCATACAAGCCCAACGCACTAATTAAGGTTGTCGCTAAATGTAACATATATGTAACATATGTCAATGATGTCAATGAATTTTCATTAAAAAAAAGATGTCTAGTACAGTTTACGAAACTTACGAACTTCGCCGATACCTTTTTGGTGGGTAGGTTGGTAAGTATGTAGGCGGGTAGGTGGGTAAGTGGGTAGGTGGGTAGTTAGGTAGGTAGTTAGGTAGGTAGGTGGTTAATAGGTAGGTAGGTACGTGCGTCATGATGTGAAAAAAATATTAAATACATAATTGTTATTTTGGTGCGAATGAATGTTGTTACGAGAGATATGACGAATGCATGTTTGATGACGCGGATGAAAGAGAGTGAAGTTTTGCCATATGAACGGGTTGTTATGGTATGCAAGCTAGGTAGTTCGGACTAGGGAGAATGTGAAAGATACTTCGTGTAATGTCGATAGTTTTATGTTTATACGAGAATAGTAGTTGAATAATTATTGACCAAGAAAATAATAGGCATTGTGTAAACTGATTATCGCCTGTATCGTGGTGATGGGAATGTAGATGGTAGTGGTACGCTTTAAATGGTAGTAGATCACGTGATCAAACACGACACTCTCACAGCAGCCCTAACAGTCATGTATAAATGTGTCATCTAGTCCATATGGTCTTTGTGCTAAATTTCTCTTTTGCAAATTTTTTGTTGTGTTTTTTCTGGTTGCGCATTTTTCTGTTTGCGCTTTTTATCTTTTTGCGCTTTTTTCCGTTTGCGCTTTTTCTGTGTGCGCTTTTTCTGTTTGCGCTTTTTTCCGTTTGCGCTTTTTTCTGTTTGCGCTTTTTTTCTGTGTGCGCTTTTTTCCGTTTGCGCTTTTTTCCGTTTGCGCTTTTTTCTGTTTGCGCTTTTTTCCGTTTGCGCTTTTTTCCGTTTGCGCTTTTTTCCCTGTGCGCTTTTTTCTGTTTGCGCTTTTTTCCGTGTGCGCTTTTTTCTATTTGCGCTTTTTTCTGTGTGCGCTTTTTTCTGTTTGCGCTTTTTTCTGTTTGCGCTTTTTTCTGTTTGCGCTTTTTTCTGTGTGCGCTTTTTTCTGTGTGCGCTTTTTTCTCTTTGCGCTTTTTTCTGTTTGCGCTTTTTTCTGTTTGCGCTTTTTTCTGTGTGCGCTTTTTTCTCTTTGCGCTTTTTTCCGTGTGCGCTTTTTTCTCTTTGCGCTTTTTTCCGTTTGCGCTTTTTTCTCTTTGCGCTTTTTTCCGTTTGCGCTTTTTTCCTTTGCGCTTTTTGTTTTGCGCTTTTTTCCGTTGCGCTTTTTTCCGTTGCGGTTCTTTCCGGCCACCAAAAAACACACTAACACATAAGAGAGTGCCTAGAACTCAGTCAATTAGTTCAAACAAGTAGAACAACAGAAGCTGGCTGATTTTACCAGAAGGTTGCAGCTTTCCTGACTCCCCATCTTCTTTCCAGTTTGTGTATATACTAGTCAGGTTTGATCTTGTGTTGTGTATCTACTAGTCAGGTTTGATCTTGTGCTGTGTATCTACTAGTCAGGTTTGATCTTGTGTTGTGTATCAACTTGTCTGGTTTGATCTTGTGTTGTGTATCAACTAGTCAGGTTTGATATTGTGTTGTGTATCAACTTGTCTGGTTTGATCTTGTGTTGTGTATCAACTAGTCAGGTTTGATATTGTTTTGTGTATCAACTAGTCAGGTTTGATCTTGTGTTGTGTATCAACTAGTCAGGTTTGATATTGTGTTGTGTATCAACTTGTCAGGTTTGATCTTGTGTTGTGTATCAACTTGTCGGGTTTGATCTTGTGTTGTGTATCAACTAGTCAGGTTGGATCTTGTGTTGTGTATCAACTAGTCAGGTTTGATCTTGTGTTGTGTATCAACTAGTCAGGTTGGATATTTTGTTGTGTATCAACTAGTCAGGTTTGATCTTGTGTTGTGTATCAACTTGTCAGGTTTGATCCTGTGTTGTGTATCAACTAGTCAGGTTGGATATTTTGTTGTGTTTCAACTAGTCAGGTTTGATCTTGTGTTGTGTATCAACTAGTCAGGTTTGATCTTGTGCTGTGTATCAACTAGTCTGGTTTGATCTTGTGTTGTGAATCAACTAGTCAGGTTTGATCTTGTGTTGTTTATCAACTAGTCAGGTTTGATCTTGTGTTGTGTATCAACTAGTCAGGTTTGATCTTGTGTTGTGTATCAACTTGTCAGGTTTGATCTTGTGTTGTGTATCAACTAGTCAGGTTTGATCTTGTGTTGTGAATCAACTAATCAGGTTTGATCTTGTGTCCAGTCTATGGTTTGATCGTGAGTAGCATTGTTTCACGTGCTGCCAGAGTTGTTGTGAGCAAGAGAATCAGTAGGAAGTGCTTAAAGATTTACAAAAGTAGCTATTGCCGACATTATTCTTTTTATTTTTATAAAATGTAGTGATGGTATCAAAGAAAACTCTTAATTAATATATTAATAACATTAGATGATAAATATTGCTGTTTTTGTAATATTTAATTTAAATCTCATAATAATAACTTAATTTAATATAACATATCTTTTCATTGAAAGGTGATAGACAGACTTTCAAAACAAATTGCGAGTAAAGAATAGAAACAGAAAACAGATACGCAACATTTTGCACAGTTTAGGATTTAACTTAATAAACACAACATAACTAATATGACAATGCCTTCGGGTAACGTGCTAATTATATTATAAATATATACCTATGATAACATAAAAAAAAAGCTTGAGATTTAATTTTGCATTAGAATGTGCCATGTAGTAATCTCATGTGTAAAATATCACGTCAAACAACCCCACTCTTATATATATGTATATATATATATATATACATATATATATATATATATATATATATATATATATATATATATATATATATGTATATATATATATATATATATATATACATATATATATATACATTTGTTTGTTTTTTTTTTGTTTTTTGAGTAACGACCTACGACGCGATGAAAGAACATAACATTAATGCACCAGTCTGAACTCTAGAAAATCACTGATATCTGAATATTTACATATAGCATAAGCGCATCATAGATTCCCGTAACTGCCTCATGCTCTTCAACAGTGGAGAAAGTAGCTTAATATACATATTAATATCATAGAAGCTTTCCTTATGATGTCAGATAGATTATATATTTTTCATTAAAGTAGCAATGACCGTGGGATATCTCATCTCTATAACAGGTTCCTGGCTAAGACATTATATATATATATATATATATATATATATATATATATATATATATATATATATATATATATATATATATATATATATTCTATAGATTATACTTTATTCTAAAACTGAAAACAATAAATTATAAAGAACAGTTTGATTTCATCAACATACTTTCTGTTTAATACAGCGAAGTGTTAAAATACGAAGAGAAAAACTAACGGAACCAATCCAACATCTACTCTGTTGATATTATATAGTCTAGAT